GTCGTCAACACCAAGTCTTCGACACAAGCCCAAATAGTCCCTCATCGGAATGTCTGAATCCCAAATGTCAAGTCTGGATCCAATGTCGTCAAGTCTCAAGCCACAACTCTGTCTCTGTCTGTCGTAGTCTGAGAAGTTAGGTGGCGAGAGGGTGAGAAGAGAAGGTGGACTTAGAAGAGGAAGAAGAAGAACTCTCTCTCTCTCTCTGTCCAGTACTAACCTGTGAAGTTGGCGCCTTGATGCAGGTACCACGAAGATGGAGCTGGAGCGATGGCGCCACAGGTAAGTAACACTGGCCTCCGCCAGTCTCTCTCCCACTCTACGATCTACTACCTACCAGCGCCCAGCGCTGAAGACTACAGCTACAGCTATGGCGCCCAGCGCCGAAGACTACAGCTAGCGCTACCACTACTGCCTAGCGCTGAAGACTACTGCAGCGCTCCTCCTGAGTGCTGCGGCCGAATCCTGAAGACTACTCGTGCCTACTGAACACTACCTACCCATGAAGTGCATGGGAACCTCCTATGTACCACGGGTGTGCCTCTTCAGCCTGTCGAAGGGAGGCAGGGGCTGCAGCTGCAGCTCCTGCTTGAGCATGTGAGGAACAGGCTATTTTGGGCCTGTTCCGCATCCCTGTTTCCATGCCTGAGTCTTAGGGGCAGGTCGAAACAATGAGGGCCTGAAAATGGCCCTCCGTTTCAGGCTGAAAACTCTGGGTCTGAAAAGACCCAGAAATGGGCTGAAACGAGGTAGGGCCTGCAGGCCCTCGTTTTTTAGCATCCAGGCTGAAACGAACGGGGCCTGTAAGCCCTAAGTTTTAGGCTTTTAGGCTGAATGTCCGGGATGGGCCCTGCAGGGCCCGTGTGGCTACTCAGTATGCCACATCCTTCCTCGCAGTTTTCCTCCAAGCTCCTTCTGAGGTTTACCGAAGAAACCTTCTCCTTTCCCCTGCTTGACGAGCCGGCAGATTGATCAGCATGGCACCGAAGAAGTCTTCTAATCCTTCTTCCTCCAGAAGAAGACGATCAACCAGGACCTCAGACTACGCATCCGCTCCGGATTCCCGGCTGCCTGAAGCTCATGCAACCATGCAACCCATGCTCCTCATCCCCCACCCCTCCTTGCGTAACCCCACTCAACTAAACCCCCCTGCCGCTCCCCAACCTCCGACCGCACCCAAAACCCCAAGAACTAGGAAAAAAACTAGTATCTTTAGATCTCTTGATCTCTTCTTCCTCTCCTTCCTCTTCCTTCTTCTCCTGCTCCATCTCGTGACCTTCTACCTCCTTTTCTTTACAGTACCTTCCCATCGCCTCTCTCGGGCACCCCGCTAGGCACTCCCCCCATCTAGCAAAACCTTCTCAGTCTCATGAACTAGCAAGGCATTTCGCCAGATTATTTGAGGATATTTGTAGTCACGACTAATAACACAGCTGGGTGCATGAGAATAATATCTCCCTCACATGCTCAGTCATTCTTTCTTCTTTTTGGATTGTCATTTTGCAGCAGTATCATTTCAGTTCAACAAGGTTCGATTCATGTTTAGGATTGTGGATTTTTTCTCCTCGTCATCAAAAAAAAAAAAAAAAAAAAAGGGGGGGGGAAGGGGGAGGGTGAGGAAGGGATCAGGTAGAGAAACGAGCACAAGGTATCACTGTAAACGAAAGCAACAAGGGCAATCTCGACGATTATCCCTTCACTGCATTCGTCTTCAAACTCAAACTCAATCTTCCTTCCTCTACTTAATCTTCAAGCATAACCCAACCCCTGCTCATCAACACCTTTTCCCACATCCGTACCATTGCATTTTCAACTACCTACCCTAAAGAATTAGAAGAACCTGGTATCTTGACATTCAAATCAACTCTTCTTCCTCTTCTCTCTCTTCCTCATTCTCTTACTCCATCCCATCTAATACAACTACATGCATGCGAATGTTTTTTCCGAAATGTTCAATTGGCGAGTCATATTTTTCAGACAAACTCTCACCAAGCCTTTTCTCCCTGATTATATAAGGATGATTACTATTGGATAATATAACTACATGCATGTGAATGTTTTTGGCGAGTCATATTTTAGTAACTCTCATATCAGTTGAAAAAGTTCGACGTATGCTAGTCTTTGAAATTCTCCATTTAAAAAAAAACAAAAAAAAAACAAAGGAGAAAGCGATCATCAAGGCGCATCAGGTTTTTTCGTAAACAAAACAGCTAGGGCTAAATAATTCTCAGCCCTCACTGCTTTCGTCTACGAATCCAAACCAAATGTTCATACCCTTGCAC